CTTAAGTTTATTTTATACGAGCTTTTAGATAATTATAATTTATGTTTTTCTGAACAATCTTAACTTTTCTTTTTCATATGATACATACTGGAAATTAGATGCTACACTTGGTGGATTTGGGTCACCGGGTTCTTGATCTTGATCTCCACTTTGTCGTGGTGGTGGAGAGGTTATATAGATCATTAAATCGATTTTGAAAGTTCATTAAATAGTTTTTAAATTTGGATGATTTTTTTCTCACAATTTTTAAACTTTTGTGTATGTATGTATATATTATATATTGAATTCACCATAAAGAATATTCTACAGCGATGATATTTTTGGGGACTTTGCAACGTCTTTATTTACATGTTTATAATTTAAAGAGCTGTGTTAGAATTATAAATTATAATTAACAACATTAAAATTAATTTTGGCATAATAGAGAAATTTAAGATAATTACAGATAGAAAGGTACTTGTTTGCGTAAGCTCTTTATTTGAGACGAACCTCAAAATTGAAAAACACAAAATTTGTATTTTTTATGTCGGTTTTTCAGCGCAACTTGAAATCAGTGCAATTAGAGTTCGTACGATAGAACTAAGATAATATAGAATCTGAGATAACAATAGTTACACGAAGGAACGGCGATACGGGAAAACGGACACGAGAAATGGTATGTCCCGAAAATGTAGATACAAAAAATTGGGAGAAACATGTAAATATTAAAAGTATATAGATATGCTTATAAATGTGCAGTATAAATATATATAAGTTTTTATTTATATATAAATTATTTTTATATATTTTCATACAAACATATTAAAAATAATTTTTTTACTATAATCTGTCAATGTATAATTGAACAATAAACCATGTACATAATTATGGATACATCAAAAATATTTATAAAATTGCTATTCAAACATGTTTTTATATCTTTTTGAAAATTGCAAAATGACCCATAAGGTATTCGATAGTAGTCTTCAAGTTTCCGACACGAAATGTGGCCGACAGAAACGTTAAAAAGTTGAAATTTCTGTGCTACATAGGTTACAACTAATTAGTATCCAGTTGGAATTGGATACTCATTTATCACAAAACACTAAATTTGAATTTTAAAACAATATCGCAAGGGATGACCGGGGGGGTGGAACAAGTGATTCTGTGTCAATTGACCCAGGTTTGAATTCCTTTGCCAACGGTCACTAGGTGGAACTTGTCACACATGATTAGCCTAGTGTAGCTTTACCCAGTATACCTGACTTTGTTTGACCTAGTGCACCTGACTTTGTTTGAACGGTTGACCATATCGGAGCGGGTTAGCCATAATCCTTTCTTTTTTTATAGAATTATGTTAGAGACCCCTCCATATGAAAATTATATATAATTAATCACCAAACTAATTATATTCTTATGCATATATCCTCCAATTTGAAATTAATTTGACAGACTCCCCTCGCCCACCCTAAAGTACTTAAAATGTCCTTTTAAAAATTTGTTTTAAACCCTAGTCACTCACAGTCGTCTCTCTCTTCATCTCTCAACTCCCATATTCAAATCTCGCTCCCATAGATCTCGAACCAGCGAAGTTGCTTCCCGGAGTCATAACTCTCTCTCTGGTGATCGGAATTCGATGGTTGAACTACCGTTAGATTCCTCTTGTCAAGCTCTTTCTCTTGGTGGTAATTTCATTCAATTTGAAGCAACCGGTCTATTTCTGCAATCGTTTTACAGTCGGTGCGTATTTCGACGATGGTGGGTCTTGCCGGAGGTGTAATTTGTATTCTGGTAGTCGAAATTTGACGGGCTACCCACCGTTAGATTCCTCTCATCGAGATCGCTATTTTGATGACAATTTCTTTCATTTTTAATTTTCATATTTATTTATGTATGTTTTTTTCATTTGTGGGCGCGAAACCTTGGACGGTTAACGACGGTTGCGTTTTGGTAGGAGGCGCTTGGGTAAGGAGTCATTGGCGGTTTGGTCTAAAATTCGTAACATTTTGTAGCTATGGCATCTCTCTCTCTCTCTCTCTCTCTCTCTCTCTCTCTCTCTCTCTCTCTCTCTCTCTCTCTCTCTCTCTCTCTCTCTCTCTCTCTCTCTCTCTTAGTGTATGTAGATTTAGAATGTTTTGATGTTTCTTCAATTTTTGTAGATTTTCACTAAAAGAACTTTAGTGTGTTGCTGTGAGTGTGCGAGTGCAGCTAAATGGAAGCCATTGATCCTCTCCATGAAGGTGGCAAAAGAATTGGTTGAAGTTACATCGGCGTCAAGTGTACAGTGTATCAACACATTGTATACATATATAGTGCATATACACTACAAATACTATACATATATAGACTACATATAGGAGCATGTAGATACATATGAGGGGCTAGATTCCCGGCCGCGGGAGAAGATGGCCGAACGAGAGAGGGAGCGGCTAGGGTTAGTTCGTGTATTGTGTGTGTGCAAGACCTATAAATTAAGTATTTATAGTGTCTTGCATAAAACCCTAACGGGCTTAAGTTGGACCGGGCCCAAGAGCTTAAGTTCGTTAGTTCTTTTACTCGCTCGTCTCTCTCAATTCGATGATCGGAAAATTGTAACAATTATATTTTCGGAATCATTATAATGTCCTCGTCATTACGAGTTCCAATTCTCAATTTCCAATTTTCTAAAAGTGGAAACCCTAATTCAGTACACTTTCTAAATTTGGAAACTTCCCGATTTAGAAAGTCCACTAAGATGTTCGCATATTCTTTTCCTTTTCTTATTCTCATTCATAATTCCAAATTACGAATGTTGGACCCAATCATATTGACTTCCAATCATGCAAAGATAAACCATTTTTACCTTTGACCGTTTATTCAAAAATCTCATGTGCACGAGCAGTGTGACCCTCGATGGTTCAGGTGTAAGCTAGCCGTGGGCCCACAACCCTTTGTGGTCAAAACTCGTCCCTTAGAGTTACGATTAAGATGAAGCTTGTTTCATCTTAATCACCCAACGAATCAAGATTGGCGTCTAGCAACTACGCGTCATGATTCCCTAGATAAAAATGAAGTGCCTGCAAGAACCTTCAGATATAGTTAACGTACAGTACGATCCCTTCGATTCATATGTCCCGATTGAACTAGATGCATTGGTTCGTCGAGACCTCTTTATTTGTTCAATGACGGTGCGATCGTTCTAAGTGTTGTAATCGTTACGTGCATGACTTAGAGAATCGTATTCTTTAATCATCACTTAGTCAGCTCTGGCCAGAGACTTACAATGATTACAAACTATCAGAACACACAGGACATCCAAGACTATTCTAGCGATCGAATCCTCGACTACAATGCACAGACCTCCCACTAGATTTCAGACTGCACGAACACTGGCCCTTGGGATGGTCCTCGGTGGAACTCATGGACAGGTCACGATACAGCTGGTCCTCTAGTGAAGTCACAGTGATGTCTAGGTCATAAGGACTAATGGTGTACAACTATACCATAGATATCTCTACTCGATTATTGGGAACCACTTAGAGATTTCTAGGGTGAGGGAGTTCAGTGAACTCGTCAACTTACGAGCACCCCTTAAGCATGCCGATATCACAATACCGTTTACTGATGAGATGCAGTACACATACACTAAGTGCTAGTCTCTTAATGGGAAAGGCCGATATCCTCATTGGTGGCGTAACCCTTCGACTAGGAACATGTTTAACAGTTATAATACTTAAGTAAATATCTCACGATCCTAACGATCAATTACTAGTACTTGTAATAACTGTAAGGACTATATCTATGCTTGTGACAAAGGGACAAAGATATAGAATGCCAAGTTGTTTTATCATTAATACGAATAAAGGTTCGTTTATTACCATAATAAATACGAAAGACCACAGCCACATGTTGGCTTGTTGGTCACCTACTCTAACAACATATGCATATATTTGTGTGTTTTCGATATGTATTTTATTGGTTCTGATGTGATTTATAATATAGATATTGAAATTTGTAAACTTTTATTGTTGGGGCTTATGAATCTCTTTTGTATAAGCCAATATTTGAGTATGTACATACATAATTGATCCACTAAAAATATGGGGCCAAAAAAAAGAACATAACTACGAATGACTATACTTTACTACAATTACATGTAATTATTTTCTGTACAGCTTACTACAATAACTTGTAGTTATATATGCATATATTTGTGTATTTTCGATTTTTATTTTAGTGATTCTGAGATAATTTATAATATAAATATTGAAATTTGTAAATTTTTGTTGTTGGTGTTTATGAATTTCTTTTGTATAAGCAGTATTCAGGTGTATACATAATTGATCGACCAAAAACATGGGGTAAAAAAAAGGCATAACTACGTATGACTATAGTTTACTACAGTTACATGTAGTTATTTTTAGTACAGTAAACATATTGATTTTACAAAAAAAAATAATAATAATAAAAAAATAAAAAAAAAATTAAATAAATGTTAATTAAAAAGTTAATAAAAAAATATATAAATCAAACAAACAGATTTATTAAAAAAATAATAATAATAAATAAATTAGTGAAAAGGATAAATGCAGGACCAGAAATGTTGAATGCAATTTGGCCGAAAATTGCATATAAAGATAGTATAGTACTTTCTTCTCACCAAGCCGTATGTCAAATACTCTTTTTGGCTTGAATTTATCCCTAGATTATTTGATACCCAGGATTATAAAAGAAGATTTTTTTTCTAGGTAAGTATTTACGACCATATTTTGGAGTTGCAAGAAATCATCTCAAATTACCCCTTAAATTAAAGATTTCGAACAATCCAATAAATAATACTTAGTAAGTCCCAATAAAATATATTCCCAGTACGTTAATATGATACCCAATATGTAACCATAAAATAGTAACATAGTACATAATCTTAGAAAATTACAATAACATACATCTCTATCCAAATTAATCTCATGTATAAAAACTACGTAAACAAAAAAGAAAAATGCAATATTAAATTAAATAATCTTTTTCTCATACATATGATCATGGCTCATATGATAATCAAACCCCTCGTTTTCCTCTCCATCGTACTATCAATCAACATCGTCCAAATAATCGTCGGTGCCGATCCTTTTACAAAGAGATTTGAGGTTAATGTGTACGATTTTCTCCCCAAAGAAAATTCTAAGTTAATAACTCATTGCCAGTCTAAGAACGACGATTTTGGAAATCATACGCTTTATCTGAACCAATATCAACAATGGGCTTTTCATCAAGACGTGTTTAAGAAAACTCTTTACTTCTGTCACTTGTGGTGGAACGGCAAGCAACAGACGTTCGATGTGTTTAGTAAGCATTTGTCCGGAGACTGCCAAACTGGAATTGGTGGTAATATTTGCAGTTGGATAGCTAAGGCGGATGGCATTTATTTTAGTCCGGACAGAGTAACTTCTGCGGGTCCCATTGGTGTCCCGCAGAAAAGATACGACTGGCAGTAATTGTTTTTTGTAGATGCTACACATTGATTATATATATATATATATATATATCACCCTAAAGAATAAAGAATATGCTTCAGTATGTTATTTTTGCATGTTTATAATTATCTAAAGAGTTGTGGTTAGAAATATTATTATTAGCAACATTAAAATAAATTTTGGCATAATAGTTTTTATGGTAATAGAATATAATATCAACTTAATCACTGTTAGAGAGATTAACAATAGCTACAGATAGAATTGCACTTAATCAACAATCTCTCTCTTTATTTATGTAAACCAAATCTTACAAGAAACAATCTCTCTATTTATATCAATCAAATTCTACAAGGAAAAACAATTAGCATATATTTGCTTAATTTCTCTATTTGAGCTGATTAAGTACTAAAATATTTGAACTTTTAGTTTTTGTTATAGATGAATATATGTTGAAATTGATGTTTGGAAAGAAAAATAAAATTTCAATTCCAATCCACGAAGTGTTTAATTCGAGAAAATGTAAAATCGAAATATCGAATATCGGAATGAAGATATTTGTTCCAAAGCTGGAAAATCGCAAATTGAGATAGGCATAATTCGAAAAAATTGTTCTGAATTGCACCCCTATTAGGTTATATTAACTAGATAGAGTTAATAAGATGTTTGGTAATTGGTAGAATTCAATATTAGTGAAGCCTGCTACTAAAGTTGAAGTCCGCAATTAAATGTTATTGCGTCATGAAATTAGTAACACCCCTCCCCCTGCGATTAATTTTGCAAGGAGTGACTAAAATGAAAATTACTAATTTATCCTTATAATAATAATTTAATTTTGTTAAATAAAAGACTTTATAGACAATTTACAAATAATAAAATAATTTAACAAATTTAATACAACATGTAATCTAAAGAAGTAAATATATTATTAATCAATTAATTAATTAACCAGTAGGAAGTTAATCCAATCGGATCTAATGCAATACAGTGAAGGAAACAAGGCCTAACTCAAGTAGGAACAAATCGTTTAACCTATTATTTTGGTGTTCACAAATTCCTATATATATTTCTCTTCCCCAACAATTGACCTAATTCAAATCAAAACTACGTCGTTTAATTTTTAACCCACTTTTTTTTTTTCTTCAAACCTTTCAACCATGGATTCCAATTATTGTGAATACCATCGATTTTTCTCCTTCAATCATCTAATCAAAGAAGAATTTATTACTACCGAAAATACTGATCCGAAGATCCACTTCCACTTTTCTTTGCGGGTCGAATTTTCGAAATGGATTCTACGCCAAGATTCACCCGAATAAACCACGATTTTTGTCTGAGCAGTGAACCACTGTCGCGAATATACATTGAACAAGAACTTATTAGAGTTTTGACTTTGGAAGAAGTCAACCTTACAAGATTGGTGGATTATGCATGGAGAGAAGCTTCTAGAAGTAGTGTTTATCTGAATCGCCACCACTTCAACGCTTTGTACGAGCATCGATACGTTATACTTGAAGAGGATGCTCGTGATTATTCTTTTCGTATGGTTCCGGCGGAGTATTCGTCGATCGAGGGGCTGAAGACGGTTGATTCTCGTCGGAATATGGCGGAGATGAGTTGTTGCTCGGTTTGCTTGGAAGACTTATCCGGCGGTGAAGAAGTATTATTATTATCGATGCCGTGTTCGCATATTTTTCACGGAGATTGTATCAAGAATTGGCTGAGGACTAGTCATTATTGCCCACTTTGCCGCTTCGACCGATCGGAGTTAGATATATAAATGTATGAAATAAGTACTCTTTTTTTTGTAAATTTTGTGATTTATATTGTCAATTATAATCTATGAGAGATGTTTAATACTTTTTGAATAAGTTATTATATTCGCAATATAATGTCTATAGGAATAACCAAAGACCCTCATCAGGAGAGTCGGTAAACCCTTTTGTTTTAATCAATTTGTTGATGTAAGTCAACTCGTTTACAATTGAATTATCAGTCATACTATTGTAAAGTGAAAAGAAAAGATTGTGAAAAGTGTTTAACTTAAAATGGAATAATTGTTAGATCTTTTTGCCTTCTAACTCAATTTGAAATAGGAATATTATTATAAGTACATTGATCGATGTGATGCCAGATTCGGGTCTCGGGTTTTGGGTTTCTGGTAATATATGGTATAATCTCAAATTCTTTTACATGAATATGCATCTCCATCCAAATTAATTTCCTCTATATAAACCAGATACACGAAAAGAGAAAAGTGCAATATTCATTAAATTTTTTTCATAAATCACAAGAATATGCAATCTCTATCCAAACCAATTTCCACTATATATGAAAACTAGATACACAAAAAATAAAAAAAAAAGTGCAATATTAATTAATCTGTTCTTATACAACATATCATGGCTATGATAATCAAAAGCCTCGTTTTCTCCGCGCTCGTACCATTGATCGCCATTGTCCGAATAATTGATGCCGATCCTCTTACAAAAAGGTTTGAGGTTAATGTGTACAATAATCTTCCCAAAGACAATTCTAAGTTAGTAACTCATTGTCAATCTGGGAACGATGATTTCGGAAATCGTACGCTTTATGTGAACCAATATCAACAATGGGCTTTTCATCAAGATCTGTTTAAGAGAACTCTATACTTCTGTCACTTGTGGTGGAATGGGAAGCAACAAACGTTTGATGTGTTCAGTAAGCATTTGTCTGGAGACTGCCAAACTGGGATTGGTGGTAATATTTGCAGTTGGATAGCTAGGGCGGATGGCATTTATTTTAGTCCGAACGAGGTAACTCATGTGGGTCCCGTTGGAGTCCCACAGAAAAGATACGACTGGCAGTAATTGTATTTTGTAGATGACACATCTAGTGAAACGCATTGATTAACTTTATATATATAAGTTCACAAATAATATAAGTTCTATTACTCAATTGTGTTTTTCACAAGTAATACATTTTGTGATCTATACTCTCAATTAAATAATTTATATGAGATTTTTAATACTTTTTGAAGAAGTTGTTTTCACAATATATACTATGTCTATAAAAACAAAGCATCAAGAATATCATATATCATACTATGGTTTACAAAATATGAAATTGCTCTCATTAATTTTAATTATTCAATTTAGGGTGCATTATAAACTATTTATTGTGTTTCGAGGATGCAAAGTGTTATTATATATAAATACTAAAAGCATACATGTTAAATATGTACAAGTATATTCAAAAATAAATTCATCATAATAATAAAAAAACAAAAATAAAACGTAATGCTCCAATATTTATAAAACACTTATTTAAAAGTTACTTAATTACTAATTTAAAACACGTTTTTATAAGTTGAATATTATTACTTTTTATTTTTAAAATTAATAAAACCGTTGAAATTGATAAAACTAATTATATTACAATGCACTTATGGATTTTGACACGTGCGAAAGTCTAATCCTATTACACCACTTCTAACCTAATACAAAGTCTAATCCTATTACACCTCTTCTAACCTAATATATATTATCTTAAAAATCTATTCACATCAACCTTAAAACAGAACCCTCTTCACAAATAAAATTTTCTTTTTCCTTGAAATCTTTTGACGACACCATGGATGATTTATATGATTTTCAAGAATCCTTCTCCTACAAACTCGTAAAATCGGAAACCACATCCGTAATTCCGAGTTCGGTACGTAAATTCCAAATCAACTTCAACTTTTCTTTCGAATTGGATGTTTCTGAGTGGATTTTATCGGAAGACGACGAGTCGCAGCTCGTGAGCCAGTCTCATCATCCCGTCGTCGATTGCCTCGTCTCCATGAGTTCCGCTCAGTTCTCGAGTTTCGAAGAATCACAAAAATACATGGAAGAAAAACTGACGACGACGAGTAGTGGATTATCGCGACTGAAATCCAGTAACCGTCGAGAGTTGGTCGATTACGCGTTGCGCGAAGCCGGCAAATACACCGCAGGCGGCGGGGCCCACCGAGTTTTGAATCTCCACTTCGATGTACTTTTGGAGCACGAATATATTTATCTCCGTGATATTAGTAATTATGATGAATCTACTCGTCATATGGTTCCGGCCGAGGATTCGTCGATTGATCACGCGTTGAAGACGGTGGAATATTCTCTCGATATTCCCGAGATGAATTGCTCCGTCTGCTTGGAAAGCTTGTCGGGAGATGATTATTATCGAGAAGAATTGTTGAGCATGCCGTGCGCACATATTTTTCACGGCGATTGCATCAAGAAATGGCTGAGGACTAGCCATTATTGCCCGCTTTGCCGATTCGAGATTCCGATCGACTAGTTAGACGACACGTATAATTAAATTAGGGATCGGATGGATCGGATTTTGTTACGTTATGCTATATATGTAATTGATTTTTTGAAATCTTAGACCATGTATTAATGTAAATTTTGCTGCTTGATTTTCTATAATAATGTAATGGTCATACAAAATATATGCATTGGGGAACTCTGCTATTTGAATTAGGTTTTTTTTTAATGGAATTTGTTATATATTTTGTTTTTTTAAAATAGAAAATTTTATTAATAATCTGGATATGCGATGATATGTATATCACCTTTTGGATTTAATTGGGAATACGGGGTAGGTTTCTTGCACGCGAGTAGATGATCCAACCACGCAGATGGATTTAATTGGGAACACAGGGCAGAAAGAGACGCTTGATTGCCCAACCTGTAAAATCAAAGCACGTGAACTAAGTCGGGGTTGATCCGGCAGATGGAGACGCTTGATTGCCCAACCTGCAAAATCAAATTAAGCACGTGAACTAAGCCGGGAGTTGGTCCGGCGAAAACCTGTAAAATCAAAACACGTGTTAGAAGAAGGATAGCTATACTGATTCGGTATACTCCAAAGATGCCCTCGGTGCAATATTGATGGTCTTACAAAGATCGAATTTCAGTAATTGCCTTTTACTGATCTCATCTTTTACGGAATCGATCGCCTTTGATTGTACAAGAATATGTGGAACTGAGCATGTCTGTAAGCACAGGAGAACGTTGTTGATATTATTACGAGTATTCGATATTGGGTCATTGATAGCATTACTATACCTTCCCTATTCATTGCGGGTTGGTTATTCGTCACGTGCCGGGGGTTGATCCGTGGAAACCCCTCCGACGCTCAACTCAGATGCTAGCACAAAGAATAGAGTAGAGAACACGAGATCAATAGACGCTCAAGTCAAGTCAGATAATAGAGTAGAGAACACGAGATCGATAGACGCTCAAGTCAGATGCTAGCACATAAAATAGAGTAGAGATCACGAGATCAATAATACTCGAGGGATTTGTTCGAACGTACCTTTCTCCTCAGGTTGAGGTGTTATTTATACTTAATTAATAGAAAACTCCGAATTAGAGTAGTAATCTAGTTTCTCTTCGATTAGGACTCTAATTAGGTGTTTTATTAATACGGACATGAGTAGTGGGCCTATTTGGGCCCAGCTAGGAGAATGGGCTTAATTCCTTTATCTGACGAGCATAGGGCTCTAGTATTTCGGCCCACATGGTTCCATAATCTGAATGGCCCAATGTGGCCCATTTAGGTGTATCAATATGTTATAATCCTTAAAAATATCAGTAGTATAGTGTTTGCTAATAATCAACACATTTAGTCCCTTATATTCACAAAAACCACATATGATCCCTCATGTTTCAAAAAATCAACATTTTTAGTCCTTTATGTAAATTTTCCGTTAAAATTAACGGAACCAAGCGTGTGCCCATCACCAACTTAATTGACGGACTAATGGTAAATTGACGAAAATGACCAAAAATGTTAGATTATTGAACATGAAAGACTAAATGTGTGTTTTGTGAACACGAATGACCAAACGTAAAATCGGTGCAAACTTAAGGGATGAAAACTGTAATTATTGAACACAAAATATATAATAAATAATTAAATATTACACGTGTCGTAGAAGACTCACCGGCTGTTTATCCTAATTAATCCTCCCATAATCAATATTTTTATTTTATTAAACAATACTTCCTAATCGTCCCAGGACTCCTAATCCTCGTAGAGTTGCTCTTCTAACGCATCCATGCATCTATATATAAAGAGTTATTTATTATTTATATTTTCTTGGTAAAAAATTATGCTGAAGAAGAAGAACATGGAACAAGTACGATTCCACAGCCTACAAAACATCCAAAAACTCGAGCTTTCGGGTGTTATATTCAGCACCCCGACTCGTCGTTTCAAACCCCGATTTTCGCTTCCGAAACTCTCCCGCATCAACTTCTTCTTCTCTTGCAAGATCGAATCGTCGGTATGGATTCTCCATCAAGATAACCCGACCGAGCTGCAGTGCATCAAGCGCGTGGGTTTCCCACCCACAAGGACGAGTAGTTACCACGCCCGAATCAGCTTCCGCCAGCTGTCGTGTTTCGAAGAAACCCTAGACGTGGTGGGCCCGTGTCTTGGGCCCCCGTTGGACGAAGACGGCCCGCGCCGGGAGTTGGTCGAGTACGCGTGGACGAAAGCTCTCGAGAGGGCTCTCGGACATATGAAGGGCCACGAGGTTTTGGATCTCCACTTTGATGTAGTTGTGGAGCGGAAGCTCGTTTTCTCGAGAGAGGTTGTCGAGCGGGCGCCGGATTCCGGACGCCGGAATGTTACTAGTGATTGTTGCTCGATTTGCTTGGAAGGATTCTCCGGAGAAGAGCCGTTGGGAATGCCGTGTTCGCATATCTTTCACGGGAGTTGCATCGGAAAATGGCTGAGGAATAATCCGTTTTGCCCGATTTGCCGGTCGAGATTTCCGTTGAGTTAGATACATTAGTATATGGATGTATGTATCTATAGGTTGATAGATAGATAGATATATAGATAGATGGTTTGTTAGATTCTATATGGCTCCTGAAATATTTTTCTTTTATACTATTTATATGTTAGTATTAGTATTACATCAATCTATGTTGCACAAAAACTCAATTTTTTAATGTATTCGTGTTTCGGACATATGTGGACACCTTATTGACTAATTTGCAATTTTTGAAAAGTTAGAAACATATTTGAATAGCAAATTTGTAAAGATTTTTGTTGTTTCCCTAATTATTCACATGTAAATAATCAATTGCAAATAGAGAGTTGATAATAATATTTATTTGGAAATATATGAAAATAATATATATATATATATATACTTTTAATATTTACATGTTTCCCCCAAATTTAGGTATCCTTATTTTTGGAACATTCCATTCCCGTGTCCGTTTCATGTATCGCCATTTCCGTTTCAATGCTACATATGTGTTAATCTAACAAAATACAAGTTATAGTTGTCTCTCAAAGTTGGATTTAATTGAATCTAGTATGATTAGTAATTTTACAGCTCATTATACAAGGATAATGATTTCTCAATGATATTAAAAATTTATTAATGCTTCAACAATTCAAATAGTCAATGATTTCTCTTTCTTTTTTTTTATCAATATTTCTATTCGAACGTACTAAGGTCAATAATAATATTTGAAGCAGTATTTTCATTTTGCTCCTTTTATTCTAGTGATACTTATCTTATGATCAATATTATGTAGGAAAATTAACTAGAGACCCCTCAAATATATTTTCTATAGCTTTAAGGATACGTGGCTTTTGCTTTTTTATTAAAATAAAAGTCCTTGTGTCATTTTTCGCTCTGGATCCGGTGTTTGATCTGGAGGCTCTCTAACATAATTGTTTATGAAACTTATAATAATAACGATATAGTGATTTGCACAACTTAATTATATTAATAAGCAACGGCTTAATTGACATATATAAACTGAAGAAAAAAGTTAATTAAAATAAATATAGATGCATCTCACAATACGTATACGTACAATCTACACAGACATCTTAGAAAATTCTCCAGACAACTAATCTTGCCGCCAGGGGCGTACCTATGCTATGCCAAGGGTAGGGATGGCAACAGGTCAGTTCTCGGTCGGGGTTGCCTAAACCCAAGATCTGACCCACGAAAAATATATAAACCCAAGATCCGCGCCAATCCGTTTTAGCTTAGACCCAGACCCGCCCCAACCCAGACCCTAACTAAACGGTTCTGACCCCCCAGACCCTTTAACATACAAAAAGTTTAATATTTTTTAACATTCATAACATTTTGCTTATATATTTTTACGAAATAATCCCAATATTAAAATAAAATATTTAAAAAATCTCTAAAAGTGATATAACATGAACAATAAAATTACAATTAATTATATTTAACTTCAATAATAAGTAAAATTCAAAATGCAAGACAATTAGTGGTGGTCGACGAGTGATAAATATTACTCACGAGTCACGATAAATGAGATTCGAAAAATAAACAGTGAAAATAGGTAAATGAGAATAGACAAGATGGAAATTGATGGCTTGATAAATGAAATCCGAAATTATATATATACTATATATATATACGGGTCGGTTCTGGGTCGGTTCCAATAAGACCCGTAACCCGACCCAGAACCATCCGATTCTAGAAACTTAAACCCATTACCCAACCCAGAACCATTTAGCTGACCCAAATCCACCCCAGTGAGTCAGTTCCGGGTCTAAGACCCGCAAAACCCATACTCATTGCCATCCCGCCAAGGGGGAGCCACCCCAAAAAAAATTGAGTTACTTTTTAATGTACGATTTATAATAAAATTTCATGCGTTGTCGCCCCTCCCTCCTCAAAAAAAAAAAATCATCTTCCCATTCTTAATTAAAAACTTTAAATATTCACATGTTTTTAGCAATTTTTAAGGATTAAATCTAAAAAAATCGTCGACATTGTCCGTAAAATCCCAATTTTTTTAACTTATCTTTTGTTACATTTTTTTTTCATAAAGAATTCGTCGCCCTAATAAGAAGGTCTAGGTCCGCCCCTGCTAATTGCCTCACATATACCCTAAAACACATCTCCGATCAAAACCGAAAAAAATCATAACATATATATATAATCAATTATTTACACTCAATCAAAACCTAAACAACTTATATTACTACTTTTAGTTATTTAATTAATTAATTGATTAATTAACCCCCATTTCTTGAACATAATTGAAATATGGCTGCCCGGCCGTGATACAATTTTTTGTAAAAAATCTTGAATATTTGCATCAGATCCCCCCAAGAATTTTCAAAAATCTTCATTCTTGAAAAAAATTAAAAAAAAAAAAATATTTAAAAATAATAATAATAAAAAAAAAAAAAAAAAAAAAAAAAAAAAAAAAAAACCCTCCATTAGAACTTATAAGCTTTATTGACACTGGACCGAAGCAGCAGCTTATTCCAAAACCCTC